TAACACAAGAACAAGGATTGCTGTGGCACTAAGAACTGTCATGACTTAATAAATGTAAATGATGCAGAAATACAAAAATCACATCCAGACTGCTTAATCAGGTCAGTATATAAGCAAGTAACATCCATCCTTATCTGGCACAAGTGAAAAAACAGACATTTCAATACATGTTTGAATATTTATCAGTTGAACAAATATACAGTAGTCTAGCGTTTCAAATTTTTCAAATTAAAATGTTAATTGTGTCCTGATAGACCTCAACATACAAAACTTTGCAACATCTCGGCCTAAGATATGCGTCAAATGACTTTGAGAGCAGATACTCCGGTGCTCTATTTTATCACTAAGTTATATGTTATGCAGCAGAGTGTATTCATTCAATTTGAAGCGTGGGGTGTGTGTGACTTGGTGTCTTTGTGCAAATGGTTTGTCTCACTGAGAAAACAAATGTTTAAAACATGTCACTTTCCATAAGATGGAATGAAATTAAAGGACAGGTCACTTTAATCAAAAGCTGTGAACACACTTAATGCAACCGTTTCATGTGTAATTAAACAATCAGCAGTTAATTTTGTTTATTTAGAATTAAATTAGCTTGCCATATGTTTTGCCACAACACATTACACATTTGTTACCGTGGAGGCCTAAATCACTCGAGCTTGTAATAAAATAATCAAGTCAGTATTTAGTGTCAGGTGATTAATATTGATAAATGGCTGTCCAACAAATAGCATAATGCATAAGCGAGCTGGATTTCAACTTCAGCTCCCCGAGGGGCAGATACAAGATAAGATGCATCTACTTTACGTCTGCTTTTTTACATAAATGTCAGACAAGAAGGTCTGCATGATGGGAAGTACTCCCATTTAGTTGATTTACATGCAGTCAAGTCCTCCGGTCATTGTCAGTTTCCTGCAGTAACTTGATTTGTAAAACATGATGTAAAGAAGAAACCTAGTTTACTTCATGGGGATTAAAAGAAACCCATTTAGTACAGCTAAATTCTGCTGGGGACTTGTGATTAGGGCTGAAGTAGACACTGAAAATGTGTCGACATCAATATTTTAAATTGATGCATCGTTTCAATGTTCAAATTTGTGGCACATTGACCGCCGCATACAGTATTTATTTTCTATTTTATCATTTATGGTCGTGCTGTTTCTCTTTCCTCTGCTTCCTGCCCAGGACAGGGCTGCATAATACATACACACACACACACACACACACACACACACACACACACACACACACACACACATATGCACACAGACATACATACTGACCCTGTGCCTTCCAATATGCCTGTTTAGACACTTCCCTTGGCTTTGGCTGTGGGTTTAAAGTGTGTCTGTGGCCCACTGCCCAGCACTTAAACTGTGACACACTTTGTCTGGACACACACACACATGCACACACACACACACACACACACAAACAGAAAACCTGCTCAGTTCTCCTTGTACTGTCCCCTCATACCCGCACACCCAGATGTAGACACACATGTACTCTCTCATTCCTTATCAGGCATTGTCTAGCTGCTGACAGAGGGGACAGAGCATCAGTAGCAGAGAGGAAGCAGGAACTGAGCTTTACCCCTTGCTGAAACACATTTACATCAACTCAAATCCCTTCAAGAGGGATCGACGCCTAGCAGAGGACAGCAGATGGGGAGAGCTTCAGCTTAATGTTTGAAAGACACTGTGTTCGGGGGTGTCATGGTAGCTCAGCACATCAAAGATCACACCGTGAACTTGGGTTTAAATGTGGCTCATAGACATCGTCACTGCCACAGCTCCTTTTTCAAAGACAGTACTGACCTCAGTGTCAGAGGGCGAATGAATCACGTCCAGCCCCTCTCATGTTTATTTTGCTTGGCAGATTTTTTTTCTGTTTCCACCATGAAAACACAGAGACAGTCCGAATACAATTGTCTTTTCCTGTCCTCCACACACACTCAGAAAAAGCTGCAGACCAACAGCTTTTATTGTCCTGTTCTTTTACTAAACCTATTTATAAGACATGTCATTTCCCCCTCTTGTTTCAGAATAGTCTGTTTCCAACCCCTTGATTAGAACAGAGAGAGAGATGGAGGGTGAGGGGCTGATAGAAAGTTGTTGTGGAAAATAGTCACCTTGTTCATTGTCAAGCGGGACATGAGTGGATTTATTTTTGTGGCCCACTGAAATATATATAAAAGCCTGTCTCCAGTTGCACTCTATATATATATATTAATGGGAAAGTGTTCTCAGACTTTTATACATATATGGTCTAATGAACTGATTCAAAGTCAGAGCTGAAAACATGGAATAAATGTGTCTTTTTTCCCAAACTTAATATGTATGTAAATTGTATAATATACAAGGAACTTTTATTGTAGATGTGCAGTTAAGTCTCATATTGTATATTCAGACAGTTTGGGAATATTTTTCCTCAACCAAAATCTGTCACTACCCAAACATCTGGTTGTTTGATCTGCACCAGAGTTTGATTGACAACTTTTAAAACCAGCACAAACGTAAGTGCTATAATTGCTTACATATTGTAGAGGACAAATTCAGTTTTACAGAAAAAAACTCTGAGGGGTATGACCATGATTTTGGTCAAAATGGATGATGAGATAGGGAAAGAGAAGAACAAGAGGAGAATAGGTAAATGATAAAAAGAAAGGAAAGAAAGGAGATAATGTCCTGTCTGCTGGACAAGCCTTTGTTGCCACCATTAGCTTTCTTGTCTTTCTAAGAGGACGTGGGGTTAGCCTGGCACTGTTGCCTGGTGATGCAGGAGGAACATATGCGTACTCTGTCAGATCTCAAAACTCATGTGACCTGTTATTATCTCCTCCTGATTGCTTTGCACTCTGTTAATTTCTGGTGAATGTGGAAACTCAAACACATCATGCCTGCAGTTATTGTAATTTCAGCCTGAGTGCTATGCAATCTAATTATAATGTCTGGATACAATAACAGTACGGGGAATAACAACATTCATCCTGATGTTATAGTGTTTCATTGGTTTAAATAAAAAAAGAAAAAAAGATTGAATTCTTTATGACATAAAACCTGATGTTGTATTGCTCTGGTGTTAGCCAGGCATAGTGTTGCATTTATTTCAGTGCGGTACAGTAGCATAGATATTTAATTATGATCACTATGTTATATATTTCATTTTGCTGACTCAGCAATCTCTAGAGCAGTGCTGCATGTATCACATTTATAGAAATGGGATGAAACTGTATATACTCTACTAATGTTTTCATTATTTGTATGTTTGATTCCTACAAAATGTTTATAACTGTCGATTTTTGTTCTTGGAAATTTAAATTTTAAATTTTAAAATTTGCATATATCTAGCTGCTGAGAGATGTCTATGTTTGTCGATAGTACTGATTAAGAACTTTTTTTTATATTTAACATTTCTGCTATTGTGTACAGTTTGTGTACAGAGTAAGTACAGAGTGTTCAGCTGTAAAAGTCTTTGATTTCCAGTTTATCAGCATATGAAGCCACCAAACGTGTAAAGTACAAAGGTCAGGGCCTTAGTGCCCTAGAAATATTACTGTATGCAAGAATGATCATGTAGGAAGAGGCAAGTACCAGGAACAGAAATCAATAACCGCAAAGAGCAAAGGAGAGCAGGGGGGGGGGAGATCCACTGCTGGATTCAGACAAGATGCTGGTAATGGCAGAGGCATCTAAGTGAGATCTCTGCAGCAGGTTTACTCATAGCTAAGTGGCTAGAAAGATTTTCCATAAACACAGGATGACGTGTCTAAAATAAATTGAAGAATGAAATATAATCTTTCAGAAATCGTCTTGTAACACTCCTGAATACAAAAGCAGGACAAGATTTTGTAACCTTTGAGGAAGCAAAGTTATTTTATTCAATAGATGCTTGTAATGCACTGTAAACGTGCATAATCACAAATTATACTGATTCAATTCCACCAAAATTATCTCAGTGAATAAATGTTATCCCTTTCTCTGACATTCAATTTTACAATATGAATTAAATGGTCAATACTTTGCTTCTATCAAGTAGTAAATGTATTTTAAATAGCTTGATGTGAACCAGAGCTTCCAGCTTGGCACTTGACTGACTGGACTTTTATAATCACATGACACACACAGCTTTGAGTTTTAAGACAGGGACTCCTTTTCGGTTATGTCAGTTACCAGCAGCTAAATTATCTGCCTCTTTGTCTGGAGGGAGCTCAGTGCAGACCAACAGTCTCTGCCCCTGAAGGAACAAGAGCCACATCGCTGCTGCATGACAGCAGCCCCCTCTTTGGCCTTCTGCAGCTAAACAGAGACAAGGAAGCTTTACCTTTGTCCAAGCCGAGTCGGCACAATTTTTAAAACAGTTGGTTAAGCATTTTTTTCAAGGTTCGCCCACACTACAGTATCAGTATATTAAAACAGAACTTGAACTCAGGCCTCTCCATAAATCGCAGTGGCTTTGTAGTGTGTTTCTGTATCTGCACTGGCTCAGGGCCCGTAATGACACATGGATTTTAAATGACGCTTTTGTGAAGGCTTTTCACCAAGGAAAATGGACCAAAGTGAGCTGAAAATGGTCTCATTCTTCTCTCTCCCCTTAATCTTGTTCTTTTCTTCTGTCATCTACAGTAATCACCTTCTGTAGTTGTTGTTACCGCTAACCCTCCCCTTCTGGGTCACACATTTTCTTCTAGCTTTTCTGCTATTTCTGCTAGTTCCACATTTAAATATATCTCACATGCACAGTCAAATTACATGCAGTATTTCTCATACTTTAGAAGACCTAAAGGCACACTGTTGAAAATGCATTATACAGGCTGACATTCCCTCTGTGATGGTTGTGTTTGTTTACAATTATTATACTAATGTCTTATAATTCATGTGTTGATGTTTGAATAATGTCACAGCATTTCAGCACCTTTAGAGTCTTTCAAAAGATCTTGCTCCAACTCGAGCCACTAAGAATGCTAACCTGCTGCTTCTTCCCTTTTGTGTCACCTTTAGGCGGATGCTAAGATGGTGTGCGATGTCGTCAGTCGTATGGAAGACACGGAGCCTTACTCTGCCGAGCTGCTCTCCGCCATGATGCGTCTGTGGTCCGACTCTGGCATCCAGGAGTGCTTCAGCCGCGCCCGAGAGTACCAGCTCAACGATTCAGCGCAGTAGTACGTACATGTGGTCATTTATGTGTGTATGGGTGAGTCAGTGCTGGACAGCTCACTGAGAAGTTACTCAAATCGATGTGTGTTAGTCTGCAGGACAGGCAGGTGATCAGAGTCAGGTTGACAGTAAACTGTGAATATAACATTAAAACTACGTTCATCCGAAATTCCTACAGCTCCTTGACAACCAACTGAAGGTCCTGAGTTTTGTGTTCTGTCTGCCTGCCATTATCATCTTATAACTTATAACTTACGTCTAATTAGCACCAACATCTTAGAAAAAGGGCACATTCACCCTGTTTGTGAGCCGGTGTGTGGGTGTGTGTTTATATTGAACTGAACAAAATAGGATGTGTGTTCTGAATTTAGTGGTGTTTGTATATCACCCCCAGAGGTACCATATCACTGACTCAGCACAGTAGTGCGTGTGTGTGGGTGTGTGTATGCCTGTGTGTGTGTGTGTTCCACCTCCCCAGCTGATTCCTTATTTTCTAAGTCCAGATCAATAGATCACTCATTACCCCCCCCCCCCCCCCCCCCCCCATCTACCCACTCACTATAAAAACACACACACACACACATACACACACCACTATGTATTTATAATCTTCTAAATGTGATCATACAATACACTATTAAGACACACAGTCAATCACCATTGAACCTACCAAGCCTGATTTATGCTGAGTGCCTGTGTGTGGGTGGAGAGACACAGCAGGAGAAACACAGGGAGGGAAAATGGGGTGGGATGGGGGGGGGGGTAATTTCCCTCAAGTACCATGTTTGTGTGTGTGTAGCCCTAGTTTAATTGTGTACCATACATCCAGAGAAATTACACGGAGTGACATGAAGAAATATTACAGTAGAATGATGGAGGGAGTCAATGATCTATATTTCTGTGTGCAGTACACACACTATACACCTTTCTTACACAGCAGGCTACAGCCATGGATGTAGTGAATATAGCTTATACTATTAAACCAATGTAAGTCATATGACAACAGGGTTTTTATGGGGAAAACCGCAAAGTCATTTTCGTCTGGGAATACTAGTAAAATATGTTTATGTTAGTGAGTCGTTGGCTCATAATATTCAACTGAGGGAAAAGTCATACAAAAGTCCTGAGTGCGGACATCAGAGGCAGCAGGATGTGTCATGACCAGATGAAAGACTGCACACCAACTCTATACAACACATTTTATTCATTGTTTCTGATAGGTGCTTGGTAAAATCATATATTTGGATACATCAAACATAGGTCAGGTCGACGGCTCAGCCACCATTCTGAATGTTACCATAGCAACACTACTTCTGCCTAATGTTATGTCTGATGCAACAAACCCCATCTTATATATCATTTTAGTACATATTACTTTGTTGTGTTTTATTTCGTCTGTAGAAATAGGAGGCAATGGTCCAACAGTTCAGTCCATAAACTGATGACTGAATAGAACAAATAAAAAACCACATCTATAGACAAGATCACAGCAAGTGCACCTTTTGAATGGGAATCTCTCACTTAGAATAAATGTGTAGAAACAAGGCTGATGCAAACATAGAGGCAACATAAGACAGAATAAACAGTGACGAGAACAGAGAACATGAGAAAAGATGGAAGGAGAAAGGACAGGATATAGTACTATAGTGAAAGGATATTGTGAGATAAGGGAAGGAAAGTTAAATATGAGAAATCAAAACAGTGTAGGCAAAGAAAACATGATTGAATGATACAGACTGCAAGACAAATGGGACAAAAAAAGTCAGCAAGTCAAAAATGATGAGAGAGCAAGATATATGGCGAGAGAGAGAGAGTCATTTCTAATTGTGGCAAACATCTTGGAAGGAGTTGATTCCTGTCAACATTTACATGTGGTCAATTAACTCAAACAACATCCGCTGTGTGTGTGAGTGTTAAGCGAGTGTGTCTGTGCGTGAGTCTCTGTCAGTTTGTGTGTCTGTGTTAAATGTCACATTAAAGATTGATGCACACTTCCTATTATGTTGTGGCCTGTGGAGCAGAACAGGCCAGCCAGCCAATGAACTGATAGGACAGATATCACATGATCAGACCACACTCAGTTTGACTGTGTGTGTGTTTGTGTGTGTGATATTTCTCTAAAGTTAGGACATGTTGCCAGTCTTTTGGGTTAGGGTTGTAAAGTGTTAGACGATCAACAGTCAGACATTTAGTGAAAAAAACTGTGGGAAGAGTAGGGGATGTTTGTGTGGGTGTGTGTTAGTAATCGCACATGCATGTGATGTGTGTTTTTATTACATAGAAAGCAGAAAGCTCTATTCTGAGTAGGGGAAGTTTTCCCTGAAGCCACTGCTCTCTCTCTCTCTATCTGTGTGCAAATGCCTTGCATGTACTGACCTATTTACCACAATACACATATGCTCTGTCTATGATTTACATCCCCTGCCTTTGTGACACCGTGGTATGCATGTACCCACTTGGCCGCCATCCTCAAAACACACACATGCAGTGACATTAAAATGCCAGATGAAGTAGTTAAATGGACTCTGGACATGAGCGTGGCCTCGGTGCATTCGTTTCTTACATTGCAAGACAATATGAAATTGATCAAGTGCATAGTGCCCACTAATAGCAGGCAATCAGAGTATACCTGTTTAGAATTGTATTTAAACGCTGGACGAAATGGCATAACTCTGCGCTTTGCTACAGATATTGATTCTGCAACATGCTTTGCATTCAGTTATTTAACACCATTGAACATCTCAACAGGTTATTATGGAGAGCTACTTTAGTCAACTCTAAAACACAAAAATCGATTACATGATCTTGTCAGTTTTGCGAATGCATTGCTCATGTGAAATTTCCTGATTTATTTCCTTCTTCTTCGCTCTGCTAACCAATGACAAGTCTTTTTCCTGTGTCGATTCACATCCTTTTTATATTGTGGCTGGGTTGTATCATGTTGCATCATGTTGCTGCAGCTTCTGTGACAAGTGACAAGTGCTGGTTGTAAATATGTGTTGGAACATCACAGCAGGGGAGACAACTAACCATCTAAAAGCTGGTTACTTAGCAGCAGCTATGAAGCAGGACAGTTGAGCTGACCTCCCTTGGGCTGATCCTATAAAAACATACAATTGCTTTAATGTGTATTTCTTAGTATATTATTATGTCAAGGCATAATTGGCATCATTTAATTGGCATCATTTTTTATATATTAACTTTTTTGATGTAAACATGATGGTTTTTTTACAGTACGGTGGATGTAGGCTTGGCAAGCTACTGCATTATAACGTTGGTTGATGGATTTTATTTCTGTGGTGAACCACATGCCAATGTAAATGGCTAATGTAGGGTCATTGCACTTGAGTTAATACAGCAAGTGATCAATATTACTGTCCTGTAACTTAAGCACCAGAGACTACCAGTCCACCAGTCCTCAATTTGTGGTCAGTGTGATGAGTCTTTTTACACATTAACAAAACTATAGACTACTGAAAACAGAAGAGACTGACAGAGGGATGGGTGGAGTGTGTGTGTGTGTGTTAACAGACTGTTGAGGGGGCGGTGGTGAATATCGCAGCTTGTCGGGAGAAACTCAGTAGCTTTCTATGCCGGAAACACACAAAAGCGCTCGCCCTTGTCATTATCACCTCACAGGCATCATTCTCTCCAGTTGTCTCTCTTTTGTGCCCAACACTCTTTTAGTGATAATCTGTAATACTGCACATCACCAGGCATTCACAAGCATACACTGGGGCTTGGTGTTAATCGACTTAGCGCACCATGAAGAGTAATGTCAGGATGAGGAAAAAGACTAATGCGGTGGTGGTCCACATACTGTATGCCAGCTACAAACCAGGCTACACAATGATATAAACCTTGAGGGGACAGGAGTTCTATACATTAAATAATGTGAGCGTTTGTGTTAGTGTGAGTTCATGTCAAAAATGCTTCTATGAATAATGACTGGGGGGTAAAAACAGCGAGCAGGAAGAGCAGACTGCCTCTATTCAGAGAGGGTTCAACCTCCTGCGGTGCTAAAGGTCATGAAAGTGACAGCTATGAGCTCCAGCATTAGTGGCAATTTTGATTGCAGCCTACTAGCATTTTCAGGTGTTAATTGATTCCTTAAATACTGGAGACTTGTCACTCTGTCCGGAAAAAGAGGAAGAAGAGACATTGTAGAGCAGATACTGGGTTGCATCTAGCAATTATTATCACTATTAATTAATTAATTAATTATAGAATCTGTTCATCTATGAAAAGTCCCTGTCTTGGCTACCCACAGTAATCTTTATTTGGCTTTATTTCATCTGGATTTTCTATTGTATTCTTTTCCAATAAATGCCAGAATCATCTTTGAACTTTGGCCCACACTGAAGCAGATCAATCCAATAGATTCTGTGTATGTCAGCATGACTTGACACTAGTATTTTCTGAAAAGGTTTCTCTCTGAAGCACAAATTTAAATTGGCTACAAATGGCTTTTCTTTCAGTTGTCAGTCAACAAAAATGTGCAAGACAGCCATCATTTGGTAAGACAGGGGACAATACATCCTGGTCAGCTAATTAAACTTCTCCATCATCACTTACATTGCATTCAGTTTGTTTGTACTTATGCAGTGTTTTAAGTAGTGTTTGTGTGTGTAAGAAAGAATACAGTATACTGCATTAACTATTGTAAGGCGTTTGCACACCTTACAGGATCCAGCGACAGAGGGTAGAGCCAGAGGTGCTTTTCAGATCTTATAGCCTGGGTTTATGTATCTGGTAAAGCAATGGCAGATTGATCTTTGTTATATTCAAGTTCTGGGCTGATTCTGTTAAAAAGTGACCACATCAAACCACCAATACATGAACTTGAATTAGGGCCACTGTAGAAACTGTTCAGAAGATTAGAACAGAATTAATATTCCTAATTTTGGCACAGGCTGCATCGGTGATGAATTAAAGAAAAATAGCAATAGAATTACAACCATAAAGTATTGGAATATATTTGATCATGAAGCAATACCCACAGTATTTTTCTCATATTTTCGTATATGTCTTAAGCATTACACTGTAAAAGTGTGTCTATCTGTTTTGGAGCTGCATTTGTGATGAGGTGTTCTGTATTGTTTGACTGCCTTTAATATATTCAACAACCTTTCATTTTGTAAATTTAAATGTGTTGTAACACCAGATCATTAAAATTCATCCTGTCAGGTTCTCTGAGTGTAGTAGACAGATCTGTTTACAACCTGCTATATGTTTGTATTTATTTTCTATTTAAAAACCAATCAAGGTCCAGCAGAACACTTTGTCTCATTGTGGCCCAGGAAAAAAAAAAAAAACTCTCTCTTTCTGCGCTCACTCTCAGCTCTCCCTATCTACTTCTTCTCCAAACCCCAGTCTAACCCATATTCCTTTCTGTGTAATCAATATTTCTTACCACTGAAGCTGTGAGCAAGTGCAATGTGTGTGTGTACCAACTACTTCTTGGCACCATCAGCCCAATATCGACTTTTTCTCTTGTGCTCTTGAAGTAACTCTGCATCCATTTAAAAGCTCTCAAACAACACTCTCACCGATCTATAAATAAAAACATCCATTACACTATATGGATGCATGATGTGGGTATATTATATTCTCTCTTGCTCTTTTGACTTACTGCCTGACTATCAGTCCATCTCTGCTGGTTTAGAATACCAGTGTCTGAATAGCTGTTGTGTGGAAAAATAATTTGTATAATTCAGCTGCGGAGACCTCGCTCTGCACTTGATTTTAGAGGTGAAGCTGTCAGATTAAGAAAGGGATAAAATCTTCCAGGCAGGGCATTACACCATTGTAACCCAGTAAAGGCAAAATACACGGGGTTAAAAGTAAGGGACACATGACGTCTGATAACAGTAAAAGTAAAAGATTCTCACTGGCGTTTGTCCACCCTGCTGAATTGTCATTTTAAGCCTGGAAATTGCACTATTGTCATTTTAAATGCTGCAACATTCTGCCAGTAATGTAGTTATGTCCAGGAGAGCCGCCCTCCAAGGGCTGAGAGAATGAATCTCTTGAACTGTGCTATTCAGGATTATTTGATTTATACTTCTACATTAAAAAATAAAGGTCCACTTCCACAGATATTCCATTACATAACTGAACAGTCATCTCGCCTACCTACTTCCCTTTCTCACTCCTTATCAAGTGGCCACTCAATGTGGTAACTTAGTTTCTTTATGTATTTGTATTGTACACGGCCAACTAGTACTGACAGCTTTTATTCATTGTAGGTATCAGCAAAACAGAGACAATGAAAATCTGTATCACTGGAGATTAGTATAATCCTTGAAGTTACCACCAAGGAATTTCTGTTTTCCAGTAAATTTGATTTAAAGTACTGTAGAACAAATTAAAAGACCATTCATTTCATATAAATCGTCCAATAGAGATAAGGAGGACATAGATTCCTGGTCAGAGACCCACTACAGATCAACACTGGTACCATTGTACCAGTGTTGATCTGTACTTGGTCTCTGACCTCTGGTGAGAGGAAAGAAACTGCAGTCAATACAGGGGCAAAGTATAATAGCACATTTACTCTCATTATTAATGACAGCAATCCATTGGGTGGGTGTCTCATTGTGCTTGTTATGTAATGTTAACTGTTAGCCCATCCCAGCCATAACATACATTATTAAGTTTAAACTTGAATACAGATAGATCCATTTGAAGTGATGGTTCTCCTACTGTGTCAGTGTGATCAGAAAACTCAACACTAAATGAGACTAAGAGGTGAGATGCAGGGAGCTCCTGGTGGATCTGAGGCAGACATTTGAACGAGTGGCTTAACACCCAATGAAAACACATTCACCATCACTCAGTATGAGAACTGGCCATTTGCTAAGCCCCGCCCTAGATAGTTACTGTCGCTACGCCTGTCAAGCTTTCCATTTTCAAACAGCAAAAATCAGTATACTGGTTACAATGATAGTGGCCAGATTTACCATCAAAATTCATAGTAATTTTTTTGAACAATGAGTCCTTGATTTTTAAATAAAGAGACAAAACCAGCTTCTCATTTCTAGCCATATTGTATCAGCAGTTGCTAGCCCAGCTAATCAAACTAATGCTAGCTCCAAGAGTTGGTTGAAAATGATGTCTTGACTTTTTAATGCTTCCAGCTGACTTGAGGAGAATCGTATAGAAACATTTGATGGCTGCGTACATGATATCATGCATGTTGCATGTACCAGGCGAAAAGTCATCCATCCTCACCAGCTTATGAGAAAAAGCTTTAAGTTTGAGGACTAACCGGCGTGTTTGGCAAACCTGTCTTGTGTAAAATCGACTGTGGTTGCTTAAGTTTAAACTTCCCCAAATCCAATAAAGAACAGTACAGAGCCGCTTACACTATGTTCTAATAGCATTCAGGACAGGCTTTCATGAATAAGGGAAGTACTACACAGTGGATGTGTTAGTCATGAACAGAGCATTTCTAATAATACCAGTAATTCCACAAAGTAATGTGAGTTTTTGTTCTTTTGCCTTGTACCATTCAGTTTCTCCTGCAAGTAGTAAACTGGTTAGCCAGACACGCTGCAGCCGACATTAGAGCACAGTTTAATCCATTCATTGTGCTTTTGCTCTTGTGTTTTTGGTTTTGGAAAAGCTATAAAAATTTACCATCCTCCAAACTCTGTGTGTACTCAGTATTGCCCGCACAACAGCCAAGTGCACACGGTTTCAGCATGTGAAGTAATCCAAAGTTTGACAGGCCTGCCATGCCTCGTTATAACTACTCTAGAAGTAGCCTGGTGCTGATTTACAGTCTGTATTTTCTCTGTGTGTTTGTGTGCAGCTACCTAGACAGCCTAGATCGGATTGGTGCAACAGACTACCAGCCGACAGAGCAGGACATCCTGAGGACCCGAGTGAAGACCACAGGCATCGTTGAGACACACTTTACCTTCAAAAACCTTCACTTCAGGTCAGTATTAAGTCCCCTTTTTCTTTAGATGTCTGCTCCTCTATCCATGCATACAGGAGGAACTCCTGTCTGTAATTAATAGGATTAAATGCGTTAAACACGTGTCTATATTTATGATTGTCTGCCTTTTTTAATGAGATCTGATTCAATTAGTGCAAGGAGCTATGGGACCAATGGCAGAGAGGAGGAGAGGCATTATGGGACTGTAGGAGGAAAGAAAAGAGAAAAGAGGGGAGGAGTCTTGTCCTGACCTCTACTTTAATTACCATATCTGTCCCTCTTGTGTGAATGATGTTTCTTTCACTTTTCCTATTACTTTCTGTCTCAGTCTTTCTCATTTACACACATCATATTTTATGTTCAGATACACACATTAATTTTAAATATGCAGAGAAATGTTAGTTCTGCTAAATGATGCTTTATACTGTTACGCTTACAGGTGAGTAGGTGGTGTGCTGGGTGTGTTTTTGTAGAAGCCTAAATACTGCCAGCTCAGTTGCTATTACTGGCAGTCAGGCAGTGAGTGGGAGACAACAGTATTCCTGCACTGGGTGTAAACCACTAACCTTCCTACCATTATACCCATCACATCTAGAACTCTGTTCTAGCCACAACAAAAAAACAGTTTATACGTGAGAAAGTGGTCATTCTCAACTGTGAAGACATGAGGTGAATTACTGGAAAAATGTAGTCTCAGATAAGATTCAGCTCTACTGTATTCCTCATAATCTCACAGGTTGTGCTTTGGACATTTACTATCAGGTGGTCTTTTACAGTGACTGGTGGTGTTTCCACTGTTCTCTCTCTGTAGATTATAATGCAGCATAAGACAACACTCGCAGACTTAATCCTGTGGTCACAACACTGTCATACTGTCAGTCCATTTAACTCCGACTAAGCTAGCAAAAATATGGATGGAGAGGACAGACAGGAGAAACACATTAAAAATGTCCAAAGGCCCCTTTTACTTGTGTCTTTTAAAGTGTGTCTTATCCAGGTAAAATCTAGATGAGACCTAGATTTTTCAGTACTGCCAAAGTACTGAATATCTCCTCTGTGGTAGGTGTACAGTAAGTGTCTCCAGGACTACATTTTGCCTTGATAAAACACACAGGTATTGCTGGTATTGTTTTTACCTTGTAAAGCCACACACAGCTGGTAATTAAAACACTTTTATTTCATTCAGAGTGATTTCAATCCATCTTGAATGCTTCTCTGTTGCATTCACTCTTTGCTTTTTTGTATTCAATAGCTATTCAATCAGCCCAAGATGACATGAAGTATAAACCAGACCTAAATCATCATCAATATCCAAAAAGGTGCCATAAAAGAAAGATATTGTCAGATTCAGTAAATCTCCAATGGCGAGAACAAAGTAATGGCTCTCTTACATTCAAATGTGTTATTGAGCAAATACACAGGGAAGAGGAAATGTCACACAAACCAGTGATGCAACACATGAAAATGTGCCAGTTGCTTGTTCATTGAAGAGTAAAATTTACACTGAGATAAAAACTGACAGAATGTACGAGAGTGACTGCATAGTGATATGTAAAAAATGTCTTTATGTGTCTATATATAAGTGAGTGCTTTTTCACATCCGTCTCTCTGTGGCCACTAGGCTGTTTGATGTGGGAGGTCAGAGGTCGGAGAGGAAGAAGTGGATCCACTGTTTTGAGGATGTCACAGCCATCATTTTCTGTGTGGCACTCAGCGGATACGACCAGGTGCTGCATGAGGACGAGACCACGGTAAGGACACATGTCACATGTATGACCTCTCTCACTCTGCCCCTCTCACTGGTGCTTTCTCTCTGTCACTGTGTAGCCTAATGACCCATTTATACTGTAAATATTGGAATAGACCTTTTAAGAAACATTATTTCTAAAAGCATCAGAGTTGTATTGTAGTGTATCCAAGGCTCCTTTACGTGTTCAGGATGCGGAACAACATTGCAAATAGTCCCTTAATACATTTTGACACAGGCTATATAATAGCTAGTATAAAGACAGTGTTCACTTGTTCTGTATGTAGGAAAAACACGTAAGCTGACATTAAACACATGGTCTGTGTAACAGCCTGAGACAGGAAGGGATAAACGTCTCTGTTGCTCTTTCATGAGCTGCTAAATAAATTAAACCATGACAGATATTTTATATATTCATTATAGAATGACAGGACTTATAGGCAGACTTATCTGCTTCCTGCTTCTCTTACTTTACATCTGTCTCATCAATCTGATGTATGGGTTTATCACACTGGTTTGCCTTAGCCATAGTTTTCTTGCTATCAAAACACAACATTAATTCTGTGGATTTCCACAGTGTTTCTTCTGGATCTCATCTTGGTATACCAAAATGTGCTGATTAATATCACGACAGAACATGTAAATAGATTAACAGACTAGCACCGACGGCGCTATTGAAAATACTTTTTGGACTTGTTTGTTTAACAAAACACTTAGTTGGACAGTCCCCCAGCTCTGGTACACACACTGCTGGACGGTTCCTGTGCAAAAATACAAAGGATCATTGTATCTGTGAGTTATTTTTCTCTATGCAAACCATTCTTCCCTGAATAGACACTGCAAACTAAGTTGCAGTCTGGGCAAAGCAAATGATCTGCTTTAAATAACAGGAAGGACAGGTACAGTAACTCATGAATATTAGGTTACAAAAGGCACATTATGGTGACTGTAGATTCTGAGATACACAGTAGGTGTTGAAATGTACTTTATTTACTTCACTTTAAGGAAAAAGCATTAAATACCCTTAAAAAAAGTATCACTAAAAAACATTTCTTTTTGGTTTAGTATAATTTTTGCATATTGAAAAGAGTCGGTGTTTGAGAACTGTAAGGGCTCTGGAGAGCAGTGTGGACTGATTTGATATTTGGTTAAAATAAATAAAACAGTAAAACAGTTACGATCGAGTAGCTCAGTGTTTCCTCAATAAAAGGCCACAACCCACCATGTGGCTATAAAGACAATGTCATGTCGTCTAAAACAAATAAGTTGATTTGAATGCATAGTGCTCAATGCTATTTATAAGCCTGAAGTGTATCCTTGGAGAATTCCAGGCAGGGAAATTGTGTTCAGTAGCTGCTCTATTTATGCAGATGTCATCAAGCCTCCCTCTGAGCTGGGAGCGCCAGAAGAACGTCAGATGAGGAATGAACTATCCATCATAAAACCTGCTCTGAAACAGGTTCTAGTTTGCGTGCCGCATATTTGACTTCAGATACCTCAGTGGATCAGACAGCAGTGCAAGGATGAAACATGTTTTGATTAAGGGGCTGTTTTACCGTAATATTGTGATTTCTTTTACCCCAACACAGCACACAGCTAAAATACAAGTTCAGGTCCGTTGTTTGGTGGTTGCCGGTGCATCTTTCTGAGAAATCTTCAAAATCTAAATGAAATAGAAGTAGACAAGGCAGTATGTGATAAAAAGTGTGTGAAATTACCAGTCACAATTACAAACAACAACAGATAATACAAATCCAGTAAACATCACAGATCTGCTCAGACAACATTAGTAGCAGGTCTGCTAATGGTATCAACCTTATGTGTTATTATTTTTAAAGAGCAAACATTAGTGTGGGAGTTTCAATCACCAGGCAAATAACCAAATGTTTTTCAGTGGGCTCCCAAGTCCAGAGACATCCATGGCATGTTATTCAGAAATTACAGGCACTTTGCACAGCAACAATATTCCACAATCAGGCAGGACAGATAACAATCCCCCACTAATGGGAGTGATGAAGTCATACATATATCCCTTTTGGGCAGTTGATTAAAGCCACTAACAGGCTGTGAATTTAATTACAATGACAACATTTTGCCATAATACTAAGAACCTAGAGGCAGATTTTTTTTTTATTGTAGCTTAAATTCTCTTCCAAAGCAAGATACTGCATATACAATTCATACTGTATTGTTTATTGATAAGGTCTACTTGAAAGGCTTTTTCAAGCTGCCTAAATCCAGAGCCTATGTCTACATGAAACAGTGTTTTGAGGTGCAAATGCCGATTTTCAGAATGTCAACAAATGTGACAGAGTTTTTGCGGTTTCCTGTAGTCATGTAACCACTAGCATGTAAAATGTACTTAAGGAAATAAAAGGGTGATAGATCGTGACATTTGCATTTATATATACTGTATATATTTTTTAGTATTAAGTAAAACAAGTTGTACTGAAACAAACAAAAGCATTATCTTTTGCTGTTCACTCAGGGTTTCTGCATGGTTCACCAAGTTATGTTATTACATTAGCTAAAGTATGAAAGTATAATGGAAAATCAATGCATTTGTTTACTACTTCCCACGAGTATATATAATAACTCCTAATGATATAATTAATGCAAGTTAATGTGAGCTGAAGCAGAAAAGCAGAATAACATGGATGGATGCATTAGCCAAAAAATTATTTATTTTCTAAAACCAACACTTCCCCACTATGAGACAGGTTCCCTAGCTGATGTAGCTAGCAGTGGTGTTAGTGTCTGCTACAGGTCTGATGGTGCTGACTGAAACTCCACATGCAAGTATAATCCTCTGTCACAACAATCCCTCTTTTAGTTTATAAGTGAATAATTTCTCCCAACAGCTTGCAGTTGGATACAAAAACGTTTTTCTAACATTTCCATTTACCCAAGGTTTTTTAGACTTGTTAATATCCTAAGGCCTTTTTTGAGAAAAATAGATGAAATGCTTCTAAAGACCTGCAGATACCCTGTCATTTGCAGTACCTAAAAGACATGGATCTGCTATTGCAAGATTTATAAGGTGCCAGAGCAGGTTTTCTGTTTGGTTTGTGGATTTCTACTGTTCTCATTTTGCTAGGACAGGAAAGAGATAAAAGACCAGGGGCCCCATGCTAAAGGTTTTGACTGTTAAGAGTATATCTATATAAGCATCTGTGTGACGTATGAACACAAACATATCCAGTACTACATGCACTAGCACCACACGTACTTCTGTGTACTTCTTTCTGTTCAAGAACTGCTTGCATTGTGTTTTTCTCTGGCTGTCCTTGTCTTGTTTCTCTGACAACACACTCGTATACAGATGGACAGACATGGGCAGCAACAAAAACAACTTTTCCTAACCACTTTTCCTTCCTGTCCTTCACCGGGTCAAGGAAAAATGTGAGAATTCATTCAAGAGAATTCATAAGGATTTAGGAAAAGACCACTCAGGTGCTAAGAGAATCCAACTGCACTTAAAATAGTCTACGTAATTATGCTATTGACGTTGAATTGTGCATCGCTTTAAATGTTGCTGGCGCGAGGAATTACGAGACACTGGAGATAAGAAAACGACTTGTGCAGATAGGAAAGGAAGGACTGAAGCACCTTTCCTTAGCAGTTGGATAATTCGACCAGATCTTATCATGGCTACCACTTAGATACTTCCGGGTCATTTCACACAGTTAGGGACCTTCCTAAGCAAAAAAGACTTTTTGAACGCAGCCACAGACTATTGTCTGAAATGATAACTGCTCTGGGTGACCACTGGATTAGGGGAACATACAAGAGAAGTGGGATGTGGGTGGGTGGGCCCCTTGCATTTTCTGTTCCTGCTCTAAGCTCAGCCCTGCAGCATCTCTGGCTCCTTCCACTCCTCCTGTCACTCTCGCCATCGACTGTCCTCTCTAACCAATCAGCAGTAAGATCTTCTACAGATGTTCCACGCACAGAAAGGTATGAAACCTCCTGATAGGTTGATACACCCACCAAGAGTTGAAAGCAGTGCCTCTTTTTGTTTGTGAACCCACGAATCCCTATCTATCTATCTATCTATCTATCTATCTATCTATCTATCTATCTATCTATCTATCTATCTATCTATCTAGCTATCTAGCTATCTATCTAGCTATCTAGCTAGCTATCTAGCTATCGACTTCTGTGTATCTGTGTGTTCTTTCTGTCTGATCGCGAAGTTCTTCCTCTAAATTACTGTTAACTATTCAAACCTCCTGCCTTCTGCCATTCCTCTGTGAGGCTGCATTACCTAAATCTGCAGTAATTTGCTACAGTTCTGTTTTTCCACTAATCTGATTGGTTGATGGGCCCCATCAATCATATATTCTTCATTGGCAACAAAGGATCATAACCAGAGAGAAACTGCTTTCAACTCATTCTTTAAATGAATCTAAGTCTTATCTGTTTTCTTCATTAGGCACTTCCATGCAGCACGACTAGGTTTCTTGATTTTTGTTTTTTGCATGAGCATTAAAACATAATGCCATCAGCTAGTTTGCTTTTCTACAGATTTCATCAGCGAACACAACATTGGATTCTGGTGAGAAATAGCCAAGATGGAATGATTTATAAAGCACATTTTTTAACAAAGCAGTGTTTACAACTCAACCTAGGGAGCCAGTGGTTCAGTGGAAAAAAACATGAACTACTAACATGAAGAAGTGCCTAATGATGAAAAAAATCAAATACTTAAATTAATTTAATCTTTAATGTATTAAGGATAGTTTTCATGCTTTTTAACCATTTTAGCTTCATTTTAGAATTCAACAGTATTTACATCTATGCCTAATATCTTGTTTTTAATATAGTATTTATTCTTTAATAACCCTGTGGAGTTTTCTTTGTAAACAGCATTTATTTTTTAAGCGTATCTGGCCTAAAAGTTTGAGTGAGTTCAATTACATCAGTTAACCACCTTAGAAAACACTTTTGAAGCTTTTAATTTGAATGTGCTATATTGACATCGGTTTTCTTCTTCTGCCACTCCTCCTTTACTGGTACACTGCTACTTTTTAGTTCATAGTTTCCACAAACTGTTGCTGCTTTCTGCAGATGGCAAAAATGCTGAACATGTGATGCAAACAAAACATTACAGTGCCCCCAGTGGTCCAAAACTCCACAGGGTACCTTTAAGTGATCACTTTTTCAGTGTACTACAGTTAGAGCAAACAGTAGCTCACAGCTAACAAGCTAAAAGTGCATGGCTTTGTTTAACTCTTTGGCAGCAAGCAGCTTACTAATAATTCCTTTTACTTATATGGTGATCAACACACACAGACAAATATATGCTCAACACGCAGCAGCAGAACAGTGTCGATAGACGAGAGGAACCCCTCAGTACTTCTGCTCTGCTCTTTTGTTTTTATTTTTCGAGGTTCCTCTCTCTGTTTCGATAGTGTGTACTTGGTATGTGTGATCTTGATTACTCGTGTGCAGGAGTGTGCATGTGTTTTCTGAACACATTTACATTTCATTCATGTAAGAATCTGCAGTATGTGTCTGTGAGAATGCATGAGAGTATGTTTTGAAGCCCATTCAGCCCGTGCTAATGTCTCCTACAGAACCGCATGCACGAGTCTCTGAAGCTCTTTGATTCCATCTGTAACAACAAGTGGTTTAAGGACACCTCCATCATCCTCTTCCTGAACAAGAAGGACCTCTTTGAAAGCAAGATCAGCAAGTCACCACTGTCCATCTGCTTCTCCGAATACACTGGTACATATCTATATACTTCAGAGTGAATGTTCATTAATATATTCTGTATATATTTATGTGGACATTAGGAGGTACTGTGGCAGCTGAGGTGAGGCTGCCTCCACACAGCACTTACAAAACATTAAGATAAGACAAACAGTCCTAATTTTAAGACTTACTGACCAAGCATTTTAACACTAAAACCAGCTCCTGAAAATGTAGGGGCAATCCAGTCTGATGCCTGTCTGCTCTTTAGTCACGTAGCCTCAAATGGGACGGTGTTTTGAGCTGATCTCGGTGATATCTGGATAATACTACACACTACATGCATATTCAAATAACTGCACCATTCAAAGTTGAAGTGGTGTTTCTTTAAGTGTTCCCACTTGACAACAATGCAGCTGTTTGAGAGGCATCGTGTCTCATGTGGTGGAGTCGCTGTTTGTCCCAATGTGGCTCAATATGGCTCCACAGAGCATTCATCAGGTTGATTTATGCATACGTGTAAACAAACTAAAAATATGTATTTAAATTTTTCTCTCTCTTGAATGACTCAATTATTTACTTATAATGGCCCCAAAAATGCCTTAATTGTAAATATGGATGTAGTATTTGTACCTCCAACTCAGGACAGAAGCTACAACAAAGTACAGCTCATACATCCACATTTATAATCAGTTTCAGCAGAGATAGAGCAGAAAAGTCTGTGTGATTCTTGACATTAGGCTGATATCTGCAGATAGCTGTTTACTGAAGTAGAAATGGAGAGGAGGACAATACACAGGGTGGGAACTCAAAGATTAGAAGGCAGAGCAGATAGACTCTGACTGTGGAACAAAACAAAAATGAGAGTCAAACAAGTACAACGAGTGAAACAGTGAATGAAATCAGGAGTGACACAAGAGGAGCTTGAGTGTAAGAGAGACGAGAGGAACTGAGAGACAAGAAACAATAGAACGTGAGAACGCCACAGAGACAGAGAAAGCAAGAGTGTGAGAAAAGAAAAAAAGAATAGAAAGCTCAAGACTGTGGGAAAGCAACATGGGGAGAGACCAAAACAGCAAGACTGTGAGAAAGAGAAAATTAGAATTCCAAACCTGTTTCCTCTCCTCTTTTTTTCATCTTGTCGTCCTTTTACATAGCAGAACGCTATTGCCTATTCTGATGAAGCAGCCAGACAAACCACAGTGCTGCTAATAGCTGAGACCCAGATAGATGTTAGTGACACTTCCAACACAAATTACTCCAATCACTGTGATCTTACTCGTTCCAAAAGCATTATAACAAAGTAAAGCTCTTGGTTAAAGCCACCGCCAAATTCTTGCATTACAGCAGAACTAATTCTTACAGTTCATAATTGACTTGAGCTAAATGGGCACATAGTAGATCTGTCACTGCTGAAAAATTAATCAATATACAGTATGAATAATGGCCCCATCCCTTTTGTCCTTCATCCCTCTGTCACAGTCTTGTTCTGTTGCTCTGTAAAGACTATAATACATTGGTAATACTCAGAAACTGGCAGCTTTTGCCAACGCTATCAAGATTTTCCATTACATTTAATTTGTCTGCACAAAACCACCTTTTCCATTTTGTCTGAGGAAGTTGTCGATGTATTATATTTTTTTTAGCGAGCGGTAAGCACAACCCTCCGCACAACACAGAGTAACACATTCAGCAGTATGTGTGCTGAGCTCGAAAGTCAAAGGTTATGTTTTCAGAAAATATGAGAAAAATCCTGCTGATGCAGAAAATGAGGTACAGCCCACTGATACAAAGGTTCAGATGACAACAGCTTTTAAGCCTTCACCTAACTCCCACTATATGTCATCTCTCTCCTTAGGTCCAGACACTTACTTGGAAGGAATAGCCTACATTAAGTCTCACTACGAGAGCAAGAACAAGTCGCCCAACAAGGAGGTCTACTCCCACGTGACCTGCGCTACAGACACCAACAACATCCAGTTTGTCTTTGATGCTGTTACTGATGTCATCATAGCGAATAACTTGCGGGGCTGTGGCCTTTACTAATGATGCTATTAAATGTTAGCCAATATGCAAGATGGGTGTTTGACTTGTATTTACCCATGTGGTACCTACGTGGGTAAATACATTTGGTACAACCTATGTGGTATATGCCACACAACCTATGTGGTATCTATCACACAACTATTGTGGTATACCACATAGGTTGTGTGGCTCATGTCATTGTGTAATTGTGTCAAATATGGGGTGTGAGTTGTGGTCATGATGTCATCGTACTGCTTAACCATAAGGCTGATCATTGGTTCAACTTGACTCTTAATTAACGAATTGATTGGTTGGTTGAGATGTTATTTAATCTATTTGCCTTTTTTCATTCATCATGTCAGTTCCTAGCAAAGAACCACCAGCACATTCCAGGTACACTGTACATTGTGTGTTTGATTGTATCTCAACTCCAAATCTGTTGCTGGTGTGCTGCAGATATTTTGCACAATACCTAGAGTTAACTCCTCTGGGACACGAGGTTCCTGGGACTTATTTGTACATATAGCAGTGCCTTACTCATTGCCCTAGATGAGATGCAGTCTAAGTGCACCCCTCTAAGAAATCCAGGAGTAGTCCTCAAAAATGAAATTGTGAGATATTTCTCATTATTTTAAAATGTCAGTTGTCATTCTGATATCTTATATTTTAGTCAGTTAGGTTCATGAAGGGCCAATGTGAAACTGCGTTAAACGATGTCAATGAACAAGTCCTAATCAGAAGTTCAGTTCACTCTCAGTTTAGTTCAGAGAGGTGTTCTTCAGAGTTAATTATGTATATGAGATATTAGCCCCTGTATGTCAGGGGCACTCTGGCGGCCAAGGGGTTAGGGCACATACTATACAACTGTGATGTCACAATTTAAATTCCAGCTGGGGACCTTTGTTGCATGTCATACTCCACCCTCTCTCTCTCCCTATATTTCTGCAAAAAACAACTTCGCTCATGCCGTGTTGTGATATTCATTCCTCTGATGTTTGTGGTACACTGCATAGTGTCAGACTGTTGCATTTAGCCATGCCCATTAAACTGTGGAACTTCAAAACGGCTAATCTTAAATAAATACATAAATGCATACATAAATAAAAGATGCAATGAACCAAAACCATAATAGATAAATACTGAAGAAAATAGATGAACTCATCATTATGACGTTAAATTAAAATCGAACTCATTATAATGATCATAATAATGTGTTTTCACAGTAATAGTTTAACAGTTCATTTAAAATATTTCTTTTAATGTCTCCCTGAAATAAGAAGAAACTTGTTAAAAGGTACATTTTGAAATTGCTATAATTAAATAAGAATGAACCATAATTAAGTAATTTTACATTGAATTTAGCACTTTTTCATATGATTATTAAGTTCATAATGTATTTTTATTGTATATACTGAATTTATTTATTTGATATTGGCCTGTACAGAGTTCCATATTAAACAGTGTGATGCCTTTGTGAGTTCTGGATTCAACAAATAGGACTAATTAATGGTACCCTGTCCATTCATCTTATCCTACCCTCAAAGGCCTCAGAGAAACATGTAGGATCATAAGAGCCTCATGTCAACTTCAATATAGCAAAGCTTCTCTCACTGAAAACCTGCGGGAGCAGAGGGATTTTCGGGGGGAGAGGATTGTTCAGAATACTAAATGTAATTAGACCAGAAATAATCTCGGTTATGAAACATGACTCTCACTTATTTTTCAGTTTGAAGTCACTTTTTTTTTTTTTTTTACCAGCTATGATAGCGTGTGGCTGGTATTGTTTTCACCTTTTGAGGTGTGTGTGTGTGTGTGTGCATGCGTGCCTGCGAGACACCTACTGTGGCGGGAACTACCACAGAGGTGGTTAAGCGTTTTGGCAGGTGTTTATATGTCTGGACAGATTTTGCAAGATACAGTCACAAAGATTCACAGGAGTGTAGTTGAGATTAAAATGAAGGCCGAGTTCAACAATAGTTGTGATCTGACCCGTAAAGACTGAGTATTCATGCAATAATGTAGTAATAATGTAATAATGACTGCTGAGTACTCATGGGTCAGAACGCGTCATAGCTGATGTGATCCCGTCGGAAGAGGGTCTCTAGTTTTTTGTTGTTTGTTGACCACTTCAGATTTTTAAAGTTCAATATTCCCACCTTAAAGCCTCTATGTGAAGGATTTGAACAGTTCTGACTTTGGTAATGGTAGTATCACAAAAAAAAAAAGAAACTGTGGCAGACAGCTACAAAGAAGTAATGTGTCAATTGAAATATTCTATAACCACGATTAGAATATAAGAATTATATTTTGTGGTGTCACAACTACTACCATGCTCTCTTAATTGTGGTTTGAGCAGTGGTTGTTTATCATTTCCTTAGACACAACCCTGTAAGGGTTCATACAGCAGAAATGAATAATGAAAAATGTCATTCTGTGTCAGTGTTGTTATTCCACAGTCCATGTGTTTTAGTCTTGGATGAATTTCACTCACGGGGAAAATTGAAAATTGTACTTTTGATCAGATTTAGAAGAGAAAATGTGAACATTTTCTTTTTGTTTCTGTTTTTTTTCCCATTAAGTTAAATTCACATTTAGCAAGGAAGTTGCTATTTGTGTGAGAACGAGGTTGCCATCACCTGTTCACATTTTAAAATAGATTTTCCAGGCTCTCATGTTGCTGCATGCATTGGTCCACTATAAAATCACTTTAAACAAAGAGGTACAAGAGATAGTGTGCTGACTCAACCAGACAATTCCCAGATAATGCTTCAATGGAAGCATTGATTTTATACGGCCGTAGGGCTGCATTCATTGTGTTGGGCTGTGCAGTGTCATATCCCAATTGTCCACCACTCTGCCTTAATAAACCAGAGGTGAGCTTTGAAAGATTGGGTGGTGGTGAGTACACACAGTCCTCTGGGACAAGAATGGTCAACCTTGTGACTATTGTTTTAGCCCTGATGTTTCCGTTTTTGCTAAATGAGGTCCATTTCTGGTGGTGGGTAGACATCCCAGAGCTGCTGTAGGATTGAGGTTTGATGTAGTGCACACTTTAGCTGAAATGAAGATTGATATGTGCTATTTGTAGGAACAGTTTGAATTTGAGTTTTGGTATTAAAACCAGAAAGAGGCATGTAATACCAGGAAAATATCATCATCTCCTTCCTCCTCTCTTTATAAGCAGAAGTTTACAGCATTATATAGAAATTGAGCTCTTCTTGTCTGTGGGACTTTGTTGAATTTACTGAACTGAGTGTGTTTATAGCGTTGCAGGTATGAGTGCTCCCTGGCAAACAGAGGTGGAGAGCTTCTTTATTTATTCATGAGCAAGGTGTTTGCTTTATTTCTCTCTTCCCCTCATACTCAAACAGCGAGGGTTTGTCTCCTCCCTCTGCCAGAGCTGCGATTTTTTATTTTTTAGACAGGTAGATGACGTCATCAGCTCTTCCTAACACATCTGTGCCAACATTTCCTAATTAGCGACAGAAAGCTGCCTAAGGCTGTTGATCAGCCTGCTTTGTGTGTGTGTGTGTGTCTGTGTGTGTGTGTGTGTGTGTGTGTGTGTGTGTGTGTGTCTGTGTGTCTGTGTGTGTGCGCCTGTTTCTGTCTATTTTGTGTGTGTGTGTGTGTTTACAGATTGTATACAGTTACCTACATGTGTGTCTGTTAATAGTACAGGAAAGGTAACTGTGTGTGCGTACCTGCATGCATGTGTGTCTATGTCTTGTGTGAGAGACAATATCAGCCCATGGGTGTTGTGGTGGAGTCAGTATCTGTGGATTAATTACCCAGAAGGCACCTGTCTACCCTTTCCACACAGACAGGCCCTAGACACACGCACACATGCATACACATGCACTGAAGACACAAACATGCCCATGGGACTTCAAAATGTCACAACACCTTACTTGCCAGTGCCAAATAATACCACCGTATCCAACCGGCCTCAGATGTTTTTTGGTTCTCTTGCCAAACAAGAAACCTGCTGCCACTGGTGCTTAAGGCATTTAGTTTATTAGATTTATTAGATTTATTACTCGATATGAAAGTAAAGTGATCGTGCTGCATTAACTGCTTCATTGTTGTTTTCAGGAAGATATGGCGTAAAATATACAGAAAATATCAAAAGTATTTTGGTCTCAATTTAATGCAAAAATGATGAGTTTTTCCATTTCTATTAATCAACTTATTACTGCTCTACTCCCCCCTATCATTAGAAGCTTCCCTCCTTTTTGTAAACATATGTACATAAGCATGTGTCCAGCTTTGTTTGAAATATCTTACCCTGACGTGATGAAAACAATGAGCATCTGTGCCTAATGTTTACATTTGGAGGGTCTTTCAAATGCAGTACTCAGAAAAGATAAAAACAAACTATTCACTATACATACATTATACTGTATATACATTTTAATTTGTGTAATAGTAGAAATCCACACTTGTGCAGTTTAATAACAGGATTTTCCAGTAACATGGGTTTGATTCAGCATTTGTTTAGCATCATCCTCACAGAATGCAGGACAGTACACACACATTTCTGTTATGATTAAAATTAGACACCCGTTTAAATAGTTTTTTGGATATGGCCCTTGACCAAAGGGCAGCCAGCAGTAGACACAAGCTGTAGAGCAGCGGGCTGGTGAAATTTCCATTCACACTAATTTAGCAAGCTCCAATTCACATTCAGATGATTTATTTGCCCTCAGGGTGGTAACAGCAGCACACTTTTCGTAGCTTTGTCTTCCAACTTCTTTCATGCCTGTGTTAACCTCGGGCAGTGCACAGAGCAAGACGTATCCGTGATTCTGCTGTACACGTTCTTCAGTGGCAAACTAAATCAGTTAGAGTGATATCAGATGCATTTAAAAGTGAGTTAACCTTCAGTTTATTCACAATATGTAACAACACTCGAATATTTTTGCAACATTAGCAAGGAATTGAATTTAAAGGACCATAACTGTGTTTTTGCAAATCTAAATCAGCTGCTACAAATCCCACACAGTTTACTTAAATAATACTGAAATGTTTCCAACCTTTCAGCCAGCTTTTGATTTCAGTCTATCACACTGTGAGCATCATGTTTTACTTTTACTGTTGTCAAAAAGTCATTATCATTGTGTGGAAATTCAAACCTTTAAGTGCCTAATTCAAACAAGTTACAAAATGATTTAAGTTTTCTAAAAACACGTGGAAGCCTAGAAAAAAAACAGATTAAAGATCTACTGTTAGTTATTAAGCTCTTGAGCTTGGTCACTAACAGGACAATAGGTTCCTACAGTTAATTCAAGAGATGTACTTGAATTATCAGCTCTTGTCTTGTGTCTATTTTTTAGAGCAGTTTATATTTCACCAGAGGTAAAAAATAAAACTAATAAGTTATGATAGAATCCTCCATTTTGGCTCCATTCAATTAAATTTGCGTGTCAGGGTTCAACAAAGTTAAACTTTAGACAAAACTTGTCAGGCCACTAATCATAGCACTTGTATTGGAACTGCCATTTTAAATGTTGGTGAGATGAGGTTTGAACAAATCTGAAACACACCAGCATGATCTTAGAAACTTTAAAGTGTATGTGATATGTTGAAATCATGCCCATCGCAATTGAAATTAATTCTGAAACTAAATAAAATAAACCTTTCTAATCGGGGGAGAATATACAGGGCAGCAGCTTGATTACGAGCTCTACTTGTGCTTCATCCTTTTGAAGCCACTTTGGTCTTTTCAAGCGAAAGACAGACACACAAACCGAGAAAGATGTGGTACTTCACAAGTGGAACTGTGTCTCATCTGTGTCTTTGTTTCTTAGACCTAAACCTCTTGTCCTTCTCTCTCTGATCCACTCCGCCCGCCGCTCCCTGCGACACTGAGGCTCTAAAGCTATGAGTGTTTTGTAAGGTGAAGACAGGATTGATTCTTCCACGGAGAAGAACTATGAGCAGATCACTGTGTGTGTGTGTGTGTGTGTGTGTGTGTGTGTGTGTGTGTGTGTGTGTGTGTGTGTGTATACACAGTATATATGTGTTTGTGCTTGACCCTACTCCTGATGAATTACCAATAAACCCCAAACAACCAGTGCGAAATCACATCAACAGGCGAGGCCAAGAGGATAGTGGGTAATGTAGTTTATGTCTTGCATCAGTCACAACAATAAATTATGGATTCCCATATGCTGCAGTGAAGGAGAGATTTGTGGGTAATGTAGTCTGAGGAAAGGGAGCTTGGGAGGGTTTATGGGTAGTACTGTGTGGGGGGTTTTTTTTGTTTGTTTTTTCAGTGGCTGGCCCTGGTGTGGATAATACAATCAGTGGTCCATTCAGATAACAAAGGTCCTGTGATGCTGCTTCTCTGGGCTGCAGGTGGTATTACAAAAGCAACGTGAGCACCTTGTGCCAAGTCAAAACCTTAGCAACATAAAAAAGCTGTTGAAATGTCACAATGGCAGCCAAATGAAGAACTATTCAGACTGAATTTCAATCCAAAATTTAGTGTCAAATGCTTCCTATTTAAGATTTAAATGAGCTCTTGTGTCTTTTTTTTGCCTTATTTATGCTAAATTTAGAAACTTGAGTTTTGCCTGCAAATGCTTTTGGGTCATCTTAAAATATGTTCTGTTCCCACTCAACTTTACCAACCGATGAAATGAGCACTTAAGCCCCTGCAAAGTCAGGGAGATCCCCGCTCTACCGCTGG